CCAGGTATTTATGAGGCGCCAACTACGTTCGGCGTCCGGTGGTGCTGGGGCGGTGGGGATCCAAGAAGGGGTCAAAGCAGCATTACCCTCGAGCGGGGTAAACCAGGAATTGCAGATCGTGGTTAATGCAATGAATCTACACTGAGGGTGGGTAGGGGTGAGAGCCGGGCTGGGGGGAAGGCAGGGCCTGGCTCAGTCCAGTCTCATCTCCAAATGCTGGTTCTGTACCAGGCCTGTCCACAGACCCTGGATGTGGGCAGACCCTTGAGCGCTCATAATGTACCGACCTGTTTTTGCACAGTATCTCATTACTTCTCCTAGTGATCCCAAGAAGGTGGTACCCTGAGTTTTCAGATGAAGAAACTGAGCACAGAGTGGTAGGTAGTAATGTGCCCAAGGCTGCACAACCAGGGCTAGAAAGTGAGAAGGACTCAGCGGGAACCCTTGCTCTGCAGTTCACAAAGCAAAAACAAATTAAAGAAAACTTTCATGGGGGAGGAGTAATTTGTCCCAGTGGAAAAGACATTGAAGGAAGGAATATGAAGTGACAGAGGGACTTCAGTACTGGCTCCAGGGAGGGTGGTCCAAACAGCTTCAGCCAACCAGAGTCAGATTCCAGGATGGTTCTCAGGCCAGTTTCACCGGGTAGCCAGCCCCCTTAGTACTCCGTGAAGGTCAGTTTCACAGGTTAATAGTTACTTATTTTCTTTAGCTTACAAGACAAACGAAAGTAGCTGCTATTTAAAGCCCTTTAAAGTGATTTCAGGCCCACCAGAATGTGAGCTGCTGGTGGTCCAGTTTGAACTCATGATCCTCCTTGCTCAGCCTTCCAAGCTGCTGGGATTACAGGCATGCATCACTAAGCCTGTCATCCAAAATGACTTTAAGAAAGGCAAGGTAGGGGCTGGTGTTATGGCTCAGTGGTGAAGTGTGAAGCACTGGTTTGATCCTCATCACCACATAAAAATAAATTAAGGAGCTGTGGTTGTGGCTCAGTGGTAGAGAGCTTGCCTAGCATGTGTGAGGCACTGGGTTCAATTCTCAGCACCACATATAAATAAATGAACAAAATAAAAGTCTGTCAGTGTCTAAAAAACTTTAAAAACTAATTAATTAATTAAAGGTATGGTGTCCATCTACAACTAAAAAATAAGGTAAAGCAGTATTTCTTCCAGAATCTTCTACTCCCATAGAGATATTTCTGCTTATGAGGTCTGGACATGTAACTTCTCCTGCCAATAGTATGTGGCAGATGTGATGTCAACTAACTTCTGAGCCTGGGCCATGAGAAGGATTCAGCTCTCCTGGAAGCCTGCTGTTAGAACCAGGCCACATGGCAGGCTACCTGCTTGGTTCTGGCTGTCTGTGCCACTGAGGTCCCAGCCAATAGCAACTTCAAGTGCTTTTTAAGTGAGTCCCAACCCTGCCTTTGAGCTGCCCTCCAGTGGGGCTGAGTGAGTTGTCCCCTAAGTCATTGTCAGGTTGCACATTAATGAGCAAAACAAATGAGGTCACTGTATTAACTACAGCATTTTATGCAGTTGCCTGTATGATGTCAAATTGTTATTTGATAGTGAATCCCACTTCAGGGACAAATAAATGATACAGAGGGGTTCTTGTCAAAGTCTTCCCAGCTGGTAATTGACAGGTGATGTGGCATCAGAGGCCAGTGTTTATTTTCTCTAACTCTTCCTTAAGGACATTCTCAAATACACAGGTGGGGAGAATGGCACAATGAGAACTCACCAGCCAGACCTGACAACTTCTAGTCCTCAGTCACCCCCCTCTGCTGCTGGGTTGTTTTGAAGAAAATTCTATACATTATATCATTTTCTAACTACTTCAATATTTACCTCTAAGATATAGATTCATATTATCCCAACATCCAGGCCTGCAGTCAGTTGATGCACTGGGTAGCCTGAGCTAGTTTACTTGGATCACCAAGTGGTTGTATTAGGAAGGCCCAAATGTTAGACAAAAAAGTCAGTTGGTTTGTATGTATTAACATTTGCCCTTGGACTTTTCAGGAAGCTAAAATGCCATTTGTTAGGGTTTCTAAGCTGCACAGCTTGATACTGAATCAAAGTTTTGAAGCCATACATGTGAAGAAAAGACTCTTCTAAAAATCAGAATTCAGAATTCAATATGAAAAACCCAGATGACAGTGGGCCTTGTTAGGAGTGAAGGAGTGTACACCCAGGGCTCCCTGAACTATTCGTCTTTGCCCATCCACAATGAAAATCAATCTGTCTCAACTTTCCTGATGTAACCATCCTATTCTTAACCCTTTTGTTGAAAGGAGGTATGATAATCCACTTATTTAATTCAAGGCTCCATGCCAGACTTCTAAAGCAAAAAACCAAGCATGAAGTACCTAGCGTGTTGGGTCTGTTGAGTAAGTGTTAAACAATAGTAATTACCCCACTGGGGTATCCAGCTGTAGTCTTCCCTGCCAAACCTCAGTTGGGAGACTCCTACCCCCACCCCAGCCTTGGAAAGGAGGTTCCTGTCAGGCATATAGACAGGCACAGTGGTGCTGGTTCCTTGTTGCCTAGGCTCAGTCACTGGGCCAGACCTTTTAAGACTTCAGGGCTTGCTATGAATATAGCATCAGGGCTAAGGATCTGAGTTTAGTAAGTCAATGGTCTTTCAACTGACTGTTCCTTTCCAAGAACGTTCATGGTTTGGGTGGGCAGACAGAAGCAGCTCATTGCTGTGACTCTGGTTGCCTACCAATGAGCATCACTCTCCTGGCAGATTGGGAATATCTGAGCCCACCTGTGCCTTCCTTCATTACTCATACACTGCCCTCAATACAACTTTCTAGGGGAATTAGATTCTGGAATCTTCACTTCAAAAACATATGTGAAGGAAGATGTGCTGCAAGATCTGACATCCTCCCTGCACCCAGTCCTGGGGATTGAATCCAGGGTGCTTTACCACTGAGCTAGATTCCAGCTCTTTTTATTTTGTTTTGTTTTTGAGACTGCTTTTACTTAGTTGCTGAGGCTGTCCTCAAACTTGGGATCCTCCTGCCAAAGTTGCTGGGATGACAGATATGTGCCACTATACCAGGCTGCAAGATCACTTTTTAAAGAAGATAATAGGGTCTGGGGCTGTAGCTCAGTGGCAGAGCACTTGCGTAGCATGTGTGAGGCACTGGGTTCAATCCTCAGCACCACATAAAAATAAATGAAGATACTATGTGTTCAACTACAACTAAATAAATATTAAAAAAAAAGAAGATGATAATGTTGAGTGCTTAGGCAAACGCAAAACAACCACTGGCGAATGAAGACAGACACCTGCTTATGACAAAGTCACCCTTCTGGGTGACACAGGTCATCATGCGGGTGTAATAGACTGGAAATTTGCAGGGACTGGAAATTTGCTTTGGAAATTATAAAATGCTTAGCAGTATTCAGAGCAAGTGGTTAGAAAAGGAAACCAACTGCCCTGTTTTCTGCAGTGCTTGTTTGGGAGAGAACATCTACAGTGATGGGACCACCGAGGCTGCCTCTTTAGGCAGAGGTGGTTTAAAAATAATAATAATAATAGTGAGAGAGAGAGGGGTCACTTGTTTTCAAAACTTTGGAGCTCAACTTGAACTTAATTTTCTTTGGTGTTTCTGCTCCCCACTGAGGGTTTCTGGAAACCTGCGGCGCATATTCAAGCCTCTATAGGGCAGCAGGTGGGAGGGCTCTTCCAGCCGGGCGAGGTGAGTCCCTGGAGCAGACTTTCCAGTTGGGGTACTGTCTCCGAGCCTTGGGAGGACGACTGATCCTTCTTCAGCCATTCGCCCATTGCCCAGCTCATCTTCATGGAGCACTTGCCATGTAGGCGCTGCAGTACGGAGCGAAGGACACAGTTCTCCCTCCTCGTGGAGCTAGTGGCGGGGACCAGAATAATGAAAGGCGCTGGTTCAGGGGCGTCAGGTGGTCAGGTGTCTCGGGGACGCACAGCAACCAGCCCACTTCCGCTACTCCGGCCACCTGGAACCTTCCCCAGCGCGTTGCTAGGGACGCACTCCCGCCGGGCTGCAGGCATAGTCTCGCGAGAGTCTCCGAGATTTCGTGCGGGATCTCGCACGGTTGCCGGGAGACGGCGCAGCCTCCGCGGGGCAGGACTGCTGGGCGGCGGGTCGCGGTGGCTCTGGTCAGCCGGCGCCATGGTGAGGCTGGCGCGTCCTGGGCCTGGGGTTGGGCGGGCCGGCCTGCGCTCGGAGACCCCGGGACGGGCCGTTCCTGGGATCGAGGACTGGATGCCCTCGTCGGTTCGGGGGAAGCCCGGGCGCGGGGGTCTGCGCCCTCGGAGCTGAGAGGCTTGGGCTCTTCGGGAGGCCGCGCTCCGTGGTGGGCTTAGAATTGCCGAGACCTCGGGCGCGGGGCGCGGGGCGTCCAGGAGACAGAACCTGGGTGTCTCCGATCCTCGGAACCCGTGGCTTCACGTCTTAGGAGTCCTGGGGCGCGCAGAGGCCCCGTGGAGGAGAGTCGGGGACCGGTACCTTAGGACCGTCCCCCACCTGGAGCCTCCGCTCCTCCCGCACGCCCTGATAGAAGGCCGGTGCCCAGGAGTGCCAGGGCATCAGCTCGCGGCTCAGAATCTGCCCCCCTGGAGAGCCTGGTCGGAGCCAGGCCCTAGTAGGAGAAGCCATGCGGGACCTCGCTGCTGCATCAGGGTTCTCTCCCTTCTTTTCTCCTGGAACAAGACCCGCCCCTTTGTAATTTAGGAGTCGTCAGTAACCGAGTTTTTGGCAGCAGCGTGGTATCCCCTGGTGGGGAGGATGCCTCACCGTGGGAGAGCTCCAGGAGCCCCACTAAGCCCCTTCAGCTGACTGTGAACATCCCAAATGCTAACTGGTGCTGAATCTGCCTCCAAGGCTCATGACCTTCCAGGGCGGTGCCATTCCTAGAGTAGAGAGGAGTACCTTAGGAGTTAAGGTTTCTGCGTGCATCATTTGAAAACCAACTGGGAAGGGGGACCAAAGTACTTATCACGAGGTTGTGGGAATATTGGTGTTTTGTTTTTTTTTAAGAGACAAGGTCTTGCTATGTTGAGTGTTCTGCCTGCCTTGCCTCCCAAGTTGCTGGGACAACAGGCACCTGCACCACTTCATCTGGCTCTTTTTTCCAACTGTTTTTCTAAGATTTTTATGTAAAACTGGTTATCATAACGTGAAAGCATAAACAGGAGAGCGTTGGCAGAAGGATAGGGCTTCGAAAATTGTATCTGTTTGAATGGCATGCATGAAATGAATGGGGGTAGAAGCTACCTCTCTCAGCCTTGTAAAAGCTATTAAAATGAAACATGACCCCATGACCAGTCCTTCTGCTGACCCCATTTACAGATCATCCATAGTGGATACCTTTTGATCAATAGTTCTTGGTTAGTGTTCCCTGAAGGAGTTTTATATTTTGAAGAAAAAAATCCTTATGTTTTTAGGATTAGTTATTGCTATGGAGTCATTTCTCCCTACATTTATTTAACAGTTTCTTTAAGGGGTGGTTACCAAGCATTCAGGCAACATGGTAACTTTTGGCAGACTGGTATTGTGGGCTTCCTTTCTGACTCAAGTAAATTTTCCATTCTCATTAGTGAAATCTGCCATATACCATGGAGTGAATGGATTTGGAACAGACTCCTCCATTCCTTTTATAAAGAGAAAATGTATTTTTCTGGAAAGGGAGATGTCTCCTTTGTGCTTATCCAAATGTGTTGACAGGGTTGTGTGTGGTTAATGGTGGGAAAACCCAGTGCAGAGTGATGTGTTCCAGTTCAGTGCTCTTGTGGGGGGGGGCGGGAGGGGTTTCAGTGAGCCTTAGGGGTAGAAGTTCCAAACAGATATTCACTTCCTCCTAAAATGCCCCATGGGAGCAGATCAGAGCTAGCCAAAAAGGGAAAGCCATTAGAGTGTCCTTTACTTACCCAATTGTCTCTTCAACCCAAGGCGCCCAAGAAGAAAGGGAGGAAAGGCAAAGCCAAAGGCACTCCGATTGTCGATGGGCTGGCTCCGGAGGACATGACCAAGGAGCAGGTGAGCAGGCCTGGGCTGTCCAGTCCTGGCTGGGGTGGATACCGCTCCAGATACCTTGGTGTGCATTTCATCACTACCCGATTCAGTCATCTCCCCTCAATCTGGATCTTCCATTTCTGTCCATAATTCCCATCAATTCTGCAGTTGCAGGTGCATTACATATTTTAAAACAGTGAAATATAGCCACATTAAGGAACTTTCTAATAGAGTAGTTGGAATTTGGAAGAAAATATTTTTCTGAAATAATAACTTTTAACTCTGTTATCTATCAGTCTTGCCCTCTTATGCATCTGATGTTCATAGAGCTATTAGTATACACATGTATGCCATTCTCCTTTATTTACCATTAAGCATCATAGCAGAAAGAAAGTTTTTGAAAGGAACATGATTTACCTAAAATCACATTTTCTCAATCTTATTAATTCTTCTTCTTTTTTTTTTTTTAGAGAAAGAGAGAGAATTTTTTAATATTTATTTTTTAGTTTTCAGCAGACACAACATCTTTATTTTATTTGTATGTGGTGCTGAGGATTGAACCCAGCGCCCCGCACATGCCAGGCGAGCACACTACCGCTTGAGCCACATCCCCAGCCCCTTATTCGTCGTTTTTTGACAAACATTCGAATAAGGAGTAACAGTGTCAGGGCTTACTCTTTGTTATTGCTTGTGCTTAGTTTGGAGAGGGAGTAAAGTCTTTATAGTTTCTTTGTAGTAATTATTATTTTTTCTTTTATTGGTATATTATAGTTGTATATAAGAGTTGAGTTCATTTTGAGTTAATCATACATGTAGTAATCATTTTAAGTTACTTGTTTATTTTGATGTAAAGGGCTAGTGAACTTAATTATGTGATGACAATTTCATTTAAAAGGCTCCTGACAACTATAGAATGTGGCAAGCATGGTGGACCTGTGGCCTCTGTGTTGATGGATGATGGCCCTGTGAGCATATGACAGGGGACCTGTGTGATAGTATTAATAAACCTTACTTTCTTTTTTTTTAATATTTATTTTTTAGTTTTTTCGGTGGACATAACATCTTTGTTTGTATATGGTGCTGAGGATCGAACCTGGGCTGCACGCATGCCAGGCGAGAGCGCTACCGCTTGAGCCACATCCCCAGCTCCTTACTTTCTTTTGATAGTTTTAAGATTGAAAAATAAAGAGTCATGTGAGCTGAAGTGGTGATATGTGCTGTATTTTAAGTGCAAGGAAACCATTGGCAGTTTAAGCAGAGGTGTGGTGGGATCAAGTTGTGTTTTAGAAGGATCGGTGGGGTGATGGGTGGAGAGTGGATTGAATGTTGTATTGCCCCGTGTCTAAGTTGTTTCTTGTACCTGTGTATGCCCCTCCCTGTAGAAGTGGAACTTTGATGTAGCCTGGTCCTAACTGGATGGTCTGCAGAGAGCGGGCTGGCCATGTCTACTGAACACTTGAGCACAGAAGCCTGCAGGGTCAAGCAGGAGGGTAGAGACCGGGGTGATCTGGAGAATTGGGCCCTCCCCTGGCAGAGAGCACCCACAGTCACTTCACTGGGTGGTTTCCTTGAGGCATTAGACTTCATTGCTCTTTGTTTCCTGATTTTTCAAGAGAAGCTTGAAATTGGATATTTACAAGAAATCTAAATATTGAGTGATGGCAAAATCTGGCACCATGTGAGCCCAACAGAGCAGATTGGTTTCGGCTGTTTGAGTGACACCAATGGACTGTGACGGAAGACCTTGTTTTTTTGCTGAGTCAGAATCTGTGATGCCTTACTTCCTCATGGGGTCCCAGACTCCTGCCCCGTGTCGTCACCTCAGAGGCCCCTGGTTGGCTCTCTTGAAGTAAGAAATGTGCTTTCCCTGTGTTTTGGGAGAGAAAAAAAATGTACAATAAGTAGCCTGGGGTTGTGCTCAAAGATAACCAGTTCTCAAGAGAAATGAGATCCCAAGAAAGCTGTAAGCCTGACCCGCTTTTCTCCTTAACCTATTTGCTGATTTGTGATTGGCTCTGGGCCAAAACCTGTTGAGTGTTAGAAATCTACTGGTTTTGTGTATTTCTGCTTAATACTGTATCTTTAACGGTGAAGTTTTTTCATTTTCTAGACATGTTTACATGCTGCTATATTATTTTCATATGTATTTTTTGCCATATGAGATTTCTTCTACTTGATTTACTCTGATTTTCCAATTATTTTTCTGTGTAAAATTGTCCTATCTCATTTTCTTTTTAATATTTTTGTAGTTCTAATAATGGCAAGGCTAATATCTTTGAGCAAAAAGCTTTTATGTTTCTTTTCAGAAATTTCTTTAGTGTAAATTCCCAGGAACTGCTGTAAAAATAGAATTATTCTGTGAATACTGACCAAATTTGAGAAACCTTTGCCATGTACCGGATGCACCCTGTCCTGATAGCCCCCAACATCATGGTTCAGCTTTTACTGTTAGTGCTTATTATTTTGGTAAGCGGCCCCTCCCTCTTTCTTCCTTGCCCTTCTTCATCCACCTGCCTCTGCTGTGGGTGTGTGCCTGGTCAGGTGGAAGAGCATGTCAACCGGATCCGCGAGGAGCTGGACCGCGAGCGGGAAGAGCGCAACTACTTCCAGCTGGAGCGCGATAAGATCCACACATTCTGGGAGATCACACGGAGGCAACTGGAGGAGAAGAAGGCTGAGCTTCGAAACAAAGACCGGGAGATGGAGGAAGCTGAGGAGAGGCACCAGGTGGAGATCAAGGTGAGTAAGGCTGGCCTGCCTGTGCCCATTGGGCTCACCTGCAGCAACAGAGCAGCTGAACCAGGTGGTGGGGTGGGGACTTTTCCCCTTGGCTTTGGGGAACCTGAAGGTGTTTTTTCCTAAAAGAGCTTCACTTGAAGGGAAAGAAGCTTCCTCCCTTCAGGGCAGGAGAGGCTCTACAGAGCCTGTGCTTGAATCCCAGCCTCCATGGTGGGGAAGGTTGGCCTCCTTGCAGTTGGTGCTCCCTCTGAGCCCCCTGTGAGCTGGCAGGTGTCTCACCCACTGGCTGTGGTGGTGTCCTGTCCTGTGCCTCAGAGCACGAGTGAGCAGATGCCTCCCCCGTCCCACAGGTGTACAAGCAGAAGGTGAAGCACCTGCTGTATGAGCACCAGAACAACCTGACAGAGATGAAAGCTGAGGGCACTGTGGTCATGAAGCTGGCTCAGAAGGAGCACCGCTCGCAAGAGGGTGCTCTGCGCAAGGACATGAGGACATTGAAGGTGGAGTTGAAGGAGCAGGAACTGGCCAATGAGGTGGTGGTGAAGAACCTGAGGCTGGTAGGTATGAGGAGTGGGCACCAGAGTGAAAAAGAATGCAGCCCAACAAACCGTCTTTCAGGGCTAAGTGCAGATTGCTGTCTTCAGCCCAGTCAACAGGTTGTCTTCTCCAAAGGAAAATCAGCTCAGGATCTGATCCTAGTACTGCTAATCTCTGACACACAGGGAACAGTATTGGCTGCTTTAGAGAACCAACCCTTATATGCCTGGGATCCAGTGACTGGGGAGACTGAGGTAGGAGGATCTCAGTTCAAGGCCAATCTGGGCAACTTAGTGAGACCCTCAAAAGTACATGAATAAATAAAAAGGACTGGGGATGTACATTAACAGTAGAGCATTCCTGGTTGCAATCTCCAGTCTGCAAAAAAAAGGAAAAGAAAAAGAAAAGTCAACATGTAAGATATCCTGGGCAGCAGTTCTTCAGTAACTGCTGGCCTTTGACTCTTGGGATTTCCAGGTAGAGACTGAAATTCATTTGCTGAGTGTCCATTAGGTGTCAGGCCCCGATCACGATCTCTGTCAGAATGCCTTCCCAAGTGGGGCTAAGTGTTCAGGAAAGAGAGAGAGAAGACAGAATAAATGTGCCAAGTGCATACAGCAAAGCTGATAGGGGTGAGCATTATAGGAAGAGCAAAGTGGGGTGAGTGCAGGGAGCTAGAGTTGCAGGGAGGCTGCAGTTTTTATAAGAGTTCTAGCATTACCTCATTGAGAAGGTATCATTTGGGTAAAGGCTGGAAGGAGTTAGAAGTCTGGGCTGGGGGAATTCCACCCTAGAGAAGGGATGGGCCAGAGGGAAGATCCAGAGACTAGAGGAGCAAGGAGTAGAAAGGCTGGAGGGATGATCAGAGCTTGTTAGCCTGGAAAGCCCTGGTGAGGATGGGGGCTTTGGTACAGGTCAGTAGGGAGTCCTCTGAGAATCGGGGAGAGGAAGGATGTGTCTGACTTTAGTTTTCAGATGTTCTTCTGTGTGCTGGGTAGCGGGGCCTTCTCAACACATCTGCCTCATGCTGGGAGCAGCCCAGCTTCCACTGCAGGATGTAGCTCAGTGGCAGTGCAGGCTGCAGCAAACCCCGGGGTGCTGAGGGCCTCCAGAATTGCATGGTCTTTCCTGAGAACCACAGAGTGGCTGGTTTCAGATCAAGTCAGTGGTATGAGGCTGTGAGCTTAACCTGAAGTGTGGGTATGTGTTACATGTTCAGAATGCTCCTTCATGTAAAAATACTGCCTTAAAAATAATTTAAGTTTGTAATTAAAAATTGTACTATATAATGAATTGTTTTTAAAGAATATTTATTTATGGGCTGGGGATGTGGCTAAAGCAGTAGCGCACTCGCCTGGCATGAGTGCGGCCCGGGTTCAGTCCTCAGCACCATATACCAACAAAGATGTTGTGTCCGCCAAAAACTAAAAAAAAAAAAAAAAAAAAAATATTAGAAATTCTCTCTCTCTCTCTCTCTCT